GTAGTCGTAGTAGTCGTAGTAGTCGTAGTAGTCGTAGTAGTAGCAGCAGCAGAAGTACCACTCATCTGTGCGACGGTAGAGTTCGTAGAGTGCAGTGCGCTGTGCACAGGAGTAGCAGGAGCATAGCCGTTGCCCAGAGTGCGTGGCACCATTGCGATCCCAGTGCGCAAGGTGATGATGATGGGCAGCGTTGTAATTGTGATTATGACGATGATGCCGACGATGTGGATGAGGATGGTCAGACTGGTGATGCTGCTGGTGGTGAGGATGGCGACGGTGATGGTGCTAATCATGGTGGGGACGATGATGGTATTGATAGCGGTGGCGGTGGCGGTGGCGCAGGTGCCTGCGAGGATGGCCGCGAGGGGGAGGAACAGGAAGCGGAGTAGTCATGACGAGTTCCGAAAAAAGGGAAAACGGAGGAAGTGGGATGACTTGGTTTTGAGGAGGACGGGGGTGGGGGAGGTGGCAAGGGTGATGGTGATGATGATGATTGCGGTGAGTGCGGTTCTTATGATGTATGTGGCGATGGTAGCGATGGTGATCATGATGGAAGCATGGTGAGTTATCAGGAGAGTGGTGGGGCGAAGTGGGTGGCATGGTGATGAGCATGCTGATGGGGAGGAGAGGAGGAGGACGAGGAGGAGGAGGAGGGAAAGGAGACGACGGACGATGATGATGGGGATGGCTGTGACGGTACTGACGGTGGGTGTTTGTGGTGGTTGTGGGCAATGGTGACAGGCATGGTGGAACGGATGATCAGGATGATAAAGAGACGAGGTAACCATGCATAGCTTTGTGGAGGAATGAGGGAGGAGGCGGACAAGGCCCACAACTGGAACCCATGTGTACCCCGCCACCTTTCGCAATCCGCCACAAAGGGATCTTACCCGTCTCAGAAGGAATCATGGTGTAAGCCGTCGCAATATGAATTCATTGGTAATCCGCCACAACATGAATTTCTCCCGTCTCGAAGAAGGAATTATGTTTTGTTAATTCACCGCAGAAATCCGTTTGTAGCCCGCCACAGTATTTATCCCGTTTCAAGATGAATCGTTTTTCTATGTTTAATGTATTTATATGTCTTAAAAAAAAGAAAAAAACGCCGCAACTGGACTCCATTTGTAGCCGACCACAAAAAAAATGAAACACGTGTAGCCCGCCACAGATGGAATACATGTGCAATCCGCTGGGAAAAAGAATCGTGTTGCAATCCATTGCAAAACGAATCAATGTGGAACCCGCCCCACATGTAACACATCGGAACGCCGCCACAATATGATTATTCTAGTAAGCCTCCACACATGGAACCCATCTGTGACCCACCACAACGAGAACAACGAAAACACGGCGAACAAGAATACCACGAGTACCGAAACAAAAATGGAACATAACGAACAAGAACACAGGACGAAAAGGGGACAGGCCGAAGAAGTAACAGCACGAACAAGGGACCGACCGAAAACTGAACAGGACGGCGGATTACAGTTTTTTTCGTGTGGTGGGTTACACTAGGATTCCTTCTTTGTAGCGGCTCACACTTTGGTTCTTGTGTGGTGGATTACAAATTGATTCCCTTTGCGCTGGATTGCAATAGGGCTTCTTTTGTGACGACTTTCAAATCGGTTCCCTTTGTGGCGGGTTACGAACTGATTCCTCTAGTGGCGGATTACAAACTTATTTCTCTTTGTGGCAGGTTACAGGCGGATTCTTGTAGTGATGGGTTACATAGGGTTCCTGCGGCGGATTGCAAATGGATTCTTCTTGTGGCGGATTACAGAGGATTATTTTTGCGGTGGGTTACAACAGGATTCCTTGTGACAGTAACAGAGGGATTCCTTTCGAAGCCGACTACAAATTGATTCCGCGGATAACGAATTCATTCCTTCTGTGGTGGATTTATAAAGGATTCCTTCTGTGATGGATTCCGAGTTGTTTCTTTGGTGGGGGGTACTTAGGAGGAACAGCCAACAAACAACAAACTGGAACACACTGGAAGAGCCAATGACTTTGAAAACATATCTAACACAAACTTTGAAAGCGCAGCGTTTACAGCATCCACAACTCTAAAATGCGATGTCTGAAATGATTTTATTTCCCGATGTCGAACACATTGTACAGCACAGAGTGCAGTGTTTTCAAAATTGTGCATGCCTCCGACGCCAAAAACTCTGAAACCATAACAATTGGCACAACATACTTTGGTTTCCAACATTTGTGCAAATTGTTATGTTTTCAGAGTTTTTGGCGTCGGAGGCATGCACAATTTTGAAAACACTGCACTCTGTGCTTTACAATGTTTTCGGCATCGGGAAATAACAACATCTCAGACATCGCATTTTAGAGTTGTGGATGCTGTAAACGCTGCGCTTTCAAAGTCTGTGTTAGATATGTTTCAAATTCATTGGATCTCCCAGTTTGTTTTCTTTCTCTCCATGGTTTCCTCCTAAGTACCCCCCACCAAGGAATCCCGAGTCCCATTGCAATCCGCCACAAGAGTAATTCTTGCAATCCGCCACAAAATAATTTCACTTGTAATCCGCAACAAAAGGAATCACTTTGCATCCTTCCGCAAAAGGAATCAACGTGTAGTCTGCCACAAACGCAATCAATCTGTAGTCTGCCACAACCCCGTCCAAGAGCCTCGAACAAACCTTTCCGCGCGCCCGCATTACGGTGGGGGCATTCGTTAAGGAACGTGCCCAGGAGGCTTCAGACGCTGGAGGGCTCTTTATCAGATGAGGGCGGCAGTGATGTTCATTGCCGATCCACGATTGGCTTTCCATTGGCTTCAAGACCCTGGATTCCTTATCGACAGTTTCCTCATGCAATGCCATCACCGAATCTATGGACACGGCAATCGGAAGCAATGTCAGTAACAGCATGAATGACGTGAAGCACGGTAGAGAGGAATGATGACGCACACACGCAAACACACGGTTTTGTCAATCAACCTTACCCCCCGCCCTGCCCCTTTCCGCCAAATGCCGAAACGCCGAGTAAGTCATCGTTCACCCTGCGATTGTGACATTGGCCCCCTGGCGTGCAGGCCGCTCCGAGCACAGGTGTTCCGGGATGCGAGGCTGCAGGTGGCAGGCGGGGTCGTCCTGCCACCTGTGCTCCGTCGCAGGGCGGCGCCGCACAGCCAGCCACAGCCCTGACCGCAGCGAGCCTGTTGTCGAAGAGACTGGCACGGTGGGGCCGTCCTGGCCCGATGCGCCCGAGAGCACACCTTTGGATCCGCCGCCAGTGCCCAAGACTCGGCCGAGATCGAACGATCCTGCGCTGTCCGACGCCGCGTGCATCGTTCAAGGTTGAACGATGCACGCAGCGTCGGAGACCAACGCGAAACGCGTCACGGCACGAACGAACCTGCCGTGCGCGTTTGCATGCGAACCACGGCCCCAGGACTGCCGTGTGGGCCATGGGTCGGTACGTCTGATCCATGGCTCCGCCCCCCCACCCGCATGCTTCTGGGATCGGCTCCCGTCCCCGCCGCTGGATGGGTACGCCCGCGAGCTTCGAGAAGGCCATGCGAATGGGATCGCCCCCACCCTCCCTCCTACCATGTGGTCGTGGCCCTGTGCACGTGGCGTGGTGGTGGGTGCCCGTGCCCCCCCCCTCCCCCTGTGGGTGCGGCGTGCGTCGTCGTCGTCGTCGTCGTCGTCGTCGTCGTCGTCGTCGTCGTCGTCGTCTTCCGTCGGTGTCGGTGTCGGCGTTGCCGTGGCGTCGGTGTCGGCGTCTGCCTCGGCGTCGGCGTCGGCGTCGAAGGCGTCCTCCTCGTCGTCGTCGGTGTCGTCGTCGTCGTCGTCGTCGTCGTCGTCGTCGTCGTCGTCGTCGTCGTCGTTGGCGTCGTCGTCGTCGTCGGCGTCGTCGTGGGTTGTCGTCGTTGTCGTCGTCGTCGTCTTCCGTCGTTGTCGCTGTCGGCGCTGCCGTGGTGTTGGCGTTGGCGTCGGCGTCGGCCTCGGCCTCGGCGTCGGCGTTGGCGTCGGAGGCGTCGTCGTCTTCGTCTTCGTCGTCGTCGTCGTCGTCGGGATCGTCGGAGTCGTCGTCGTCGTCGTCGTCGTCATTTGTCGTCGTCGTTTGTTGTTGTCATCGTCGTCGTGGTCAGGGTCGTCGTCGTCGCCGTGGCCATCGGAGGGGGGAGCCTGTGAACCATCGACCCTGGATCATACACGCCTCACCAGCCACGCCAGGAGGGCGTACACACATGTCCGGGGACCAGGACGGGCCTGGCTGGGATCGGGGTAGGTGCATAGTTGGTCTCATGCTGCTGTCGGGTGCCCTCTGCGATTGGTCCAGACTGTATGGCCTCGGGCCAGCATAAGCCCCGTCCAGGCTGGCCCGGATCTTGCGAGGGGTGCCGAGAGCGGCGTCAGTGTTGTTCTGGTTCCTAGACTGGTGTGAGAGCCTCGTGGTCTCGGCTAGTCGGGCGTGCACACCATACCAGGAGGGGGAGGAGGAGGAGGAGGGGGAGGAGGAGGAGGAGGAGGAGGAGGAGGAGGAGGGGGAGGAGGAGGAGGAGGAGGAAAAGGAGGACGGAGAGGAGGAGGAAGAGGAGAAGGAGGAGGAGGAGGAGGAGGAGAAGGAGGAGGAGGAGGGGGGGGCAGGAGGAGGGGGGGCAGGAGGAGGAGGAGCAGCAGGGTCTGGAGGCCAGGATGGATGGTGTGTGAATGCCTCCTTCGCATCCTCCTTGCATCGTCGTCCACAAAGCAATGGCGCCTCGACAAACACGTCGGCGTGCCCAACGCAGTGATTGGCGTCTGGGGGCCTTCTCTGGGCCCTTTCACCGTCAGAGGACGGCCCTGGTTGAAGCACCAGTCCCCTGGAAGGGGTCGAGAATCCAGGGGACTCCGGATCCAAGAAATCACGGCATCGGAAGTTTGGGTCGTCGTTGTTGATATCTTCCTTATTGCACGCCTCTCCCCCGCATCTCCCTCTGCTGTACTGCCCCGTGCCTCCATTGTTGCCTCTCCCCCTCAAGCTGTTTCCCTCTGCAGGTGCATGGGCACGGCTGCAATCCGGAGTTCGGCTACCAGAAGACCTTTGTTCAGGACCCGGTGACCTCCCGCTTCCTGGAGTATTTGCAGAGCAGGCTCGTCTTCAGGACGCGTGGCATTTACCTTCTGGATTCCAATTCGATCCGATCGATCCGTTTGGAGATTTGTTTCGGCCGGTCTGATCTGATTCGGTATTTGTATTCGCCGTGAAGGAATCGGGCCGGACGAAAGGGGGGGATTGGGAAAGGGGGGTATACGAAATCTGCTGCATGCAGCTGGTTTCGGCCTCACCGAGGGGCCCATTCCTCGATGCATAGCCGCCTCTGGCGCCGGGAGGCGCCGGGAAAATCAGCTACGTGAGCTGATTCTCAAACCCCCCCTTTGCTATCCCCCCCTTTCACCCGACCCGAAGGAAGCGGGTCCTGAAGGAAACGGGTCCTCATGTTCTTCGCCTTTCTTTGGCTCCTTGGGCCCTCCACGGGCCTGGGACTCTGTCGGACAGCAACCCAGGATGCGAAGTTGGCCCCAGGGAAGGCCCCAGGGTTTAGGATATGTTTTTCTCAGGACCCGTTTCCTTCACACGAGGATGCTCCGAGGAGGATCCGATGCGGCCCGATGCTTGCACGGCGCTGTGATGCATCCTGGCGCGGCCCATCCAATTTGATCTCGACTCCTCGGGCGACGAGATCTATACATCTTCACTGCTCCCTGGTCAGGCCCAAACTGAACCCAGGAGCTGTGTACACGCCCTCATGGCCAAGCCAGGAGGGCGTGTGGCGTAAACACCGCGGCTGGGCTCCGGATGGGCCTGGCCAGGGACCAGCGGACATGTACAGGTTTCGTCGCCCGAATTTCGAGCCGATGCGGCCCGCGCCGACGCACAGGATTGGATAAGCTTAAGATCGTAGATTTAAGTCGGGCGTGTCCCCCTACAGGGGAATTCTCGACGAAAAATCGAAAATACATCAAAAATGATCCCAAAATAATCCAAAAATAGTCTGGGGACTATTTTGATTGTTTTGTTGAGCTTTTTGTCGAGGATCTCCCTGTAATAGGACACGCCCGACATAATCGTAGGTGAGGACGGGCCCTGCCTCGTCCTCCTCCTTGGCGGGGGGGGGGCCCGCCTCCTCGCGCGCCGGGAGGGCGCGGGCCTCCGCGAGATTTGCAGACGCGATGCCGACTGGCCCCGCCCTCGGCGTCCTCGCCCTCGCCGCGGGGAGGCCTCCCCCCCCGCCCCGTTCGAAAGGAGTCCGTGCACCCCGGTGCCCTCGGAACTTCACAGGTTAGGAGGGAAACAAACGCACACGCAGGCACAACTCATCGTCGGTCCCCAGGGGAGATTTCGGAGCACACGGGCAGCGGAGGGGAAGGCGAGGCTCCAGAAAGCATGAACGAACACGGCGGATCCTGGGAGCGTCGGTGCATCTGTGCCCCTGGGCCCATGTAACGAAGTCGGTCCCCCTGGAGTCCTCCTCCTCGTGGTGTGGGCGGCACGGAGGGGCAGGTCCGATGGTGCCAGCGTTCGCGCGTAAGCTGCCCGCAGAAGGTCACGCGTGAGCGCCCTCTTCTCCACGCGGCGTGCCACGCTGGCGGCCCGCGTCGGCCGCGGCGCAGCGTCGATTTACGCGATCTCGCGCAGGACCTTTTTTTTGTTCGTCGCCAGTGTGGCGCGCTCTGGGAAGGGCGTCGCCTTCGACGCTCGGGCGTTGCGTTAAGTCGGGCATGTCCCTCTGCAGGAGGAATATTCAAGAATGGTGAAAAAATAGCCTGGTAACGATTTTCCATGCTCTTTTGAATATTTTGAGATATGTTTGAACCATGTTTTACTTTCCAGAATCCGCCCGTAGGAGGCTATGCCCGACCTAAGCGTTGCGTGATGGGGGGGAGAGGGGGGCGATCAGTGGGGGGTGAAGAAAGGTGTACCTCTTGTGCCCCAAAGGGGTCCCAAAGGCGCCCCCCCCCCCCCCCCCGAGGCCCAAAAGGGGCACGAGAGGTGCACGGTCCTTCGCTGCCGCCCCCCCCCAGAGGAGGGACGCGCGCAAGTGGCCCGCGCAAGTTAGCCCGCAAGCGCCCCCGTTCCCAGCGCGGCGTGCCGCGCTCCGTCCTCCTCCTCCTCCTCCTCCCTCCTCCCCCTCTCCCTCCTCCTCCTCCTCCCCTCCTCCTCCTCCTCCTCCTCCTCCCTCTCCTCCTCCTCCTCCTCCTCCTCCTCCTCCTCCTCCTCCTCCTCCTCCTCCTCCTCCACCGCGCAGTGTCGCTACAGTCGGGGCCCTGAATAAGGAACCCTTTTCGTTGGGGAGGGGCTCCGTGTTCCTCCATTGTTTCGCAGCTTGCCTTGGATGTTCCTTAGGTTTTCGACAGGAGATCGAAGGTTCACTTGTGGAAAAAAGGGGCCTCGTTCCTTAGTGAGGGTTCCTTAGGTCAACGCCCCGACCGTACGCCATCCCGCGAATGACATGTCTTTGCTCGTCGCTCAGTTCTCCCCCCCCCCAGTAGACGCCGGTCGTTGAAAGCAGGTATCGTCGGATTCCCAGATCCTACATCTGCTTTCGGCACCTTCCTACTTCAAGGGTCGAGCGGTGTTCCTCCTCTCCTCCTCTTCAGGGGGCGGGTGGACGCCCCATCTACTTCCAACGCCTTCCTGCTTCATGCCTCAACCCACTTCCTCCGACCAGCGTGTATCAGGAGGGAAAAAACACACAGACACAATTAATTGCCGATTTCCCAGAAAAATGGGAACATATGGGAAGTGGGGGGGAAAACAGAAACCCAGAACATATAGGAAAATATGGGGAATATTTTTGTTTGTGTGTGTTTATTTGTGTGTCCTGGGGCCCCTTCAGTGTATGCCTCGCCTGCGAAGGCGTCTCCCCCCTATCGGCGAAAGGGCCAGCGGCAGGCCGGCGGGGGGGCCAGAAGCGGCGGCGGGCCCGGCAGCAGAGGGCGGCGGCGGATCATGATCATGCTGGTGATGGTGCTGCTGCTGAGGATGGTGGTGATGATGATGATGCTGCTGATGGTGGTGGTGGTGATGATAATGATACTGATGACGATGCTTATGCTGATGGTGTTGATGATGCTGATGATGCTGTTGATGCTGACGCTGCTGCTGCTGCTGATGATGACGATGATGCTGCTGCTGCTGATGATGACGATGATGCTGCTGATGATGATGGTGGTGATGAGGGTGATGATGTGTTCGCTGCCACTGCTTTGTCGAAGCAACAGTCCTTGGTAGTTGCGCGTGAGAACTCGGCGGGAACTTCGCACAACCCCCGCTGTTAAGGCGTCAACCATTTGCTGGTTCGGACTTGGTGAGATTCGATTTCGACTCGATTTGTTGGGTGATGCCGCGGGCATCCACCGCGGCATCACATAAGCCATTGAATCGAAACCGCAGGTATCGCACACTCCGCTCAACGCCGCGAGCATCACCGCGGGGCTTCAACCGCCGCGCACAACCCACGCGCACCCAGACCGCGCCCCGCACCACACCCACGCCGCGGCTCACGCCACCCTCTCGGTGGCATGCGGGGGGTGCGGGTCGGGCTTGTGGCGCGGGCGCGGCGGGATTCCCACGCCATCGAGACTCAACCCGCACACCCCACGCACCACGACCCCGCCGCGTAGACTCGGGCTGAGCAGGCATCGCGTCGGCTCCTCTGGTTCGGCTCGATTCGAGTTCGCTGGCCTCCGACTCCGATTCGCACTTCGGTTTCCGATGCCTCCATGGCCGAGGCCTCCACGCAGGCCCTGCCGGCCTGCCGATTTCCGTCGACCCGAGGTCTCCCGGCTTGGCTGCCGACTTCCGCCGATCCAGTCCTCTTCGATTGCCGATCCGACCCCTCGATTCGGTTCTGGGCGCTCCTGCCCGGGTGTTCCCTCCGGCTCTCCTCGAAGAGCAGGAGACGGCGGAAGTAACACCTTTTCGGAGGTCCGCGCGGACTCCTTGGGCTCCCCTCCTTCCCGGCGCGCGAATTGCGCCAGAGGGCGGCGCCGCCAGGAAGGAGGGCCTATGTACCCGTCAAGTTAAACAGCGTGGACTTTGGAAATGTTGTAGTTGTGCCGCTTTGTGGTCTTCGTATCTCCTGCTGCTGGCTGCTGCTACTGCTCCTCAGGGGTGAAACACATAACTCAGTGACGCCCTGCTGGCCCCGTCCACTCGCAGCGCAGTCTCGCTGTAATGGTTGCCTGCCAGCTGCTCTCTGTCCAGTCTTCTGCAGGTCGAGCCGCCGATTTGAGCAGGGGCGCGTTCCTTTTACAGTTGACACGAGGGTTAAGAGCATCTCTAGCCTTGGAGGGGTGTCCCTGTGATGTTCGTGCCTCCACCTTGGACTGCTCTTCGCGTGGGACTTCAGCGAGGGGGCTCCTGCTCTTGACCCACGCTCCTGTGGCCGCGTCTCGACTGAAGGAGGAGTAGGAGGAGGAGGAGGAGAAGGAGGAGAAGGAGAAGGAGGAGGAGGTGAAGGAGGAGGAGGAGGAGGAGGAGGCCGAGGACGAGGACAGGGACGAAGACGGGGAGGAGGAGGAGGAGGAGGAGGAGGAGGAGGAGGAGGAGGAGGAGGAGGAGGAGGAGGGGAGGAGTAGATGGGGGGGAGGAGGCGGCCCTCCACTGTCCAGAAATCGCCCACATTGCGACCTGGTCCGACGAAGCTCTTTGAGCTCCCGTATGGACCGATGCGCGATTCGAAGCAGGCGGGTTCACGATCCAGCGTGGGCCGATTCAGGATCTGGACTTGGAGCGATTCGCGGTCCCGAACGGACCAGATCGCGATCTGGTTCTTTTCTAGATCGTGAGTCGAGCCGATGCCCCTCGCCCGCGGTGCCGCCTCGGCCTCGGGCTCCGGGGCGGCCTTGGCCTTGGCCGCGCCGCTCCTGGGTTCCGTCTCGTCGGTCCGGCCGCGCGGCGGCCGCCGCTGGCTCCTCCTCATCCGCCTCCTCCGCCTCCTCCTTTTATCGGGGGCGGCAAAGAGGGGGGTGATGACTAGGGGGGGGTGGATATCATGGCGGGGGGCATGATATTTCTCCAGATTTGATGGCGCCTCTTCTTATTTCAATACGTCCCTGGCCCCCCTCTTGGACATCCCCCTCTTGGCCGGTCCCGATTTTACGTTGGGCAAACCTTAGGACAGAGCCTGTGGTGTCAATGTGGGCAGTGCAGAAATACAAACGGCCGACGAAGCGATGCGACGATCAAGTTGCGCTTGGCGGGCGCAGCGGCAGAAAGAGAGGCGTGAAGGAAAGGAAGAAGGCAGTGGGCCCGCAAGGGCACAGAGTTTGCGCCGGCCAGGCGGTGAAGTCCCTTCTCTTCTCACCCCCCTCCGACCCATCTACCCCGAACCCTTCGCCTCCTCCTCCTCCTTCTCCCCTTTCTCCTCCTTTTCCTCCTCCTCCTACCCTTTCTCCTCCTTTTCCTCCTCCTCCTCCTCCTCCATCTCCTTCCTCCCTCCTCCGTCTCCAGCGGTGGCCTCGGCCAGACGTCGAGCCGGTCAGGCCCGCAGGCGTCGAGTCGGGAGGAGGAGCGGGGACCGGCCAGAGTGCGCACTGCTACTCTGCTCCGGGGATCGGGGGCGGCAAAGAGGGGGGTGATGACTAGGGGGGGCGTACCCCGGGCGAGGTCCAGGGGCAGCGGTACTTTTTGGTCTCCCCATTTTTCGCGGACGACGAGGTCTGTACAGATCCTTTGCCCACGGCCAGGCCCACCCCGCGCCCCGGAGGCGGTGCATACGAGCTCTCTCGACCAAGCTGGGAGGGTCGGGGGCGGCAAAGAGGGGGGTGATGACTAGGGGGGGGTAGATATCATGGCGGGGGCCGTGATATTTCCCCAGATTTCATGGCGCCCCTTGTTATTTCATTGCGTCCCTGGCCCCCCCGCTGGGCCGCGCACATGCCGCCGGTCATGATTTGCACCCCCCCCTCTTGGACACCCCCCCCCTTGGCCGCTCCCGAAGGGAGGGGCGTGGAGGCTGGAAACATAGCGAGGAGAGGGCTGGCATCCCAGGCTCGACTTGATACTCCACTGGTAGGAGTCGGCGAACGTCGCTTCGTCGTTTCACATGCTCTCGAACAGGAGGTTCACTCCGGCTGTCGTGCTGGCCGCCTAGCCATGGAGGCGAATGAAGGCATAGTCGTAGGTGGACATGTCACGGTATGTAGAGTTCGTGGCGGGTTGACCGAAAATTGTTGCAAGTGCCTTCTCGGATGTGTACCGTGTACACTCCACGTCGGCATGTCAGACCTTGATTGCGATGTTGCCAGATGTGCACTTCCATCGTTCTGCGTAGGCATCGCGCCTTCCTGGCAGTTCCGCTTGCCCTGCAGTCCGGTCAGGCGCACTCGCGATCTAACCGTCAATGGGGCTCTCTTGTCATCGCCAACGTCGCGCGCAGCCTGCGAGGCAGAAGATGTCACACTTACGCCCGCTGGTAGCTCAGCGCCTTCTCGTAGCCCAGCGCCTTCTCGTGGCCCAGCGTGTTCGGGCAGCCCATCGCCGCCTCGTGGCCCAGCGCTTGCTCGCAGTCCAGCGCGGCCTGGTGTGCCAGCGCCTCCTCGCAGACCAACGCGTGATCGTGGCCCAGCGCCGTCTCGTGGCCCGGGGTGTTTTGGTGGCCCAGCGTCTTATCGCAGCCCAGCTTCTTGACGTGACCCAGCGTGCTCATGTGGTCCAGCGTGCTCTGGTGGTCTAGCGCCCTCTCACAGCCCAGTGCCGTCTGATGGCCCAGCGTGCTCTCGTGGCCCAGTGCGTTCGCCTCGCCCAGCGCCTTCTCGTGGCCTGGCGTGTTCTGGCTGGCAGCCTGGGGCCTTCCTGTAGTAGCCCAGCGCCGTCTCGTGACCCCCGAGTGCTCCAGTGGCCAAGGGCGCGTTCTGGCTCTCTGGTGTGCCCGGGTTGCCGCTGCAATGCTGTATCAGCCAGACTCCTGGCGGCCACCTGCTTAGATGTTCGTGCTTGTCGTGCTCTCTTGGACCATGTCGCAGGCCTAGAGGTTCGCACCCACTCCAACATCGGCGGCGTGCCTCCGCCGAGGGAAGAAGATCCCGATCTCAGCGATGGTGGTAACATGGTCGGGCTCCCGAGGTGGCCGAAAGATCATACCGCCAGCACGCAAAGCTAGGGGGAAGCCAAGAGGTACCGATACTTACCGCTACCCCCGGGACCTCTCCCGGGGTGCATTCTGATCCTGCTTTCGAGGCGAATCCAGCGGTGGCGACGAGGGCCTCCCAGGAGGCCCAATAAGACGGGGAGAACGGCCGAAGGGCAGAGGCATGCTCCTCCTCTGCATCCTGGGATCAGCCTCGGCCCGTTGAGGCAGGCCCCGGTGTCGGTGTTGGTGCCCATATCCAGGCCTCCCGCCACGGGTTGGTCAGCCCACTCGCGCTCTCGCCGCGCACGAGGGCGCCGCGCACACACACCAGGCGTGGCGCCGCGCCGCGCCACGACCGCGCTCGTGTGGCGGGTGGCGCTCCCGCCGGGCCGCGGCGCGGCCCGGCGGGCCGAGGCCGTTCCCCCCATCGCGAGCGGGGGCTGGGAGGCTCCCGCAGACGGCCTTCCTCGTCGTCGTCGTCGTCGTCATCGGCGTCGTCGTCGTTTTCCTCCACCTCCTCCTCCTCCTCCTCCTCCTCCTCCTCCTCCTCCTCCTCCTCCAATCGAGTGGTGCGCCTGCTGGCCCGCTGCAGACGCCGAGTGTGCAGGCGAAGAGACGTCGGCTCGGCCAGGGTACTGCGTCAAGCTCGGCTCGGCCAGGGCATGTGGTTGCAGGCAAGGTGTGATCTTCGAGTCTTGCGACAGAGCCCGGATGGTCAAATGATCCTCCTCGAGACTGGTTCGTGCAAGACTGTTACTGCGTCTTGGACTTTCCAGGCAGGGGCCCCAGACGGCCAAGGCGCAGTGGATCCACTGCCTCTCTGGTTTCTGGGGACGGGAGCCCGGCACTCCAAGACGCAGGGGATACAGTTGAGTTTGATGAGTGGGTCGACGCTGCCCAAATCCCGGAGTCCGGTGTGTCTCGCGCCACATGCATTTTACACCTCACATTTTTGTGGCAATGTGGCCCTTGGGAGGGTCTTGTGCCCTCTGTATGTAGTCATGGATGTACACCTTGCCCGCAATTGGCCGCTCATCCGGCTGCCTACGGCAAGTCCCGCCACTGTGCCAGGGTTGTGGGTTATAAGCCTAGTGGATGTTCGTTGGAATCTCGTGGGGGCCGTTGGAGGCAGTTTTGAAGCCTCTTGGGCGCCTCTTGGGGCCCCCTGGGGGCCTCCCTGCCTGCAACTGGCCGCCCATTCCTCACTTGCGGCCCTTGAGACTCGCGCGTGGCGCCCGCCCGCCCGCCCCCGCTGCGGTGGCGCGATGCCCTGGCGCGCGTGCCGCGCCCTGGCGGCGGCGGCGGCGGGGTGGGGCCTCCCCTCGGGCAGACGCGGCCAGGCGGCGGCCGCCGGGCCGGCGCTGCGCCCGCTGGGCCCGGGCTGCTGCGCGGGGCTCGGGGAGGAGGACGCCGAGGCGCATCGGGGGCGGCAAAGAGGGGGGTGATGACCTAGGGGGAGGGTGGATATCATGGCCTGGGCCAGGAGATTTCCCCAGATTTCATGGCGCCTCGTCTTGCTTCAGTACGTCCCTGGCCCCCCCCCCTGGGCCGCGCACATGCCGCCGGCCATGATTTGTGCCCCCCCCCTCTTGGACGCCCCCCTCTTCTTAGCCGCCCCCGAGAAGAGAGACAGGGGTTGCTAAAGGTGCCCTTGGCCCAGGGTGCCTCCAGCTTCTCGCTCCGTTCTGGAGCCCCTGGGGCCCCCTGGGCCTCGCGAGGGATGCGTGGGGGGGCCTTGGAGGCCCCCTTGGAAATCCTCTGGGGGCACCTTGGGCCAGACGCCCGAGGAGAGCGCAGCATCAACTCACCTGGAGATCTCGGGCGGGGCTAGGCTTAAGACGGGCCTGTCCCCCTACATATGGATTTTCGACGAAAAACAAAACAATACCCCCAAAATAGTAAAACAATAATCCAAATATGGTCTGGGGACTATGTTTTGAATCTTTTTTGACTTTTTTGTGTATTTTTGGTGTATTTTTTATCTGTCGTCGAAAATCCCCCTGTAGGGGGACACGCCCGACTTAAGACTAGGCGATCAGAGCGTGCCGCAACGCTCCCAGAGCGTGCCAGAGCGCTCGGAGAAGGCCGCGGCGCCCGCTAGATCGTCCAGAGCCGCTGGATCCTGGAGAGTCTCGATTTGTCCTCACCCGCTGTTATCCTCGTCCTGCTTCGTCTATCCTGGCGTCGCAGTGCTTTCACCCCGGGCGTGCCCGCCCTGTCTTGGGCCCCGGGGCCATCCCAGATCGAGCCGGCTCGGGAAGTAACGCAGGGAGGTGGGGCCCAGGGCTCCAGTCTAGATTTTTGGCGATGTTTTCTGTTGTTGCGACGTCGGCTCTCATGGCATGGCGTGTTCGAGGTTGATTAGTGGGTCGACCCTGCCACGTCAAGGGTGCCCTCGTGTCCTGTGTGTGTTCGACCCATGCCCTCTGCGGTCCTCAAATGTCGCAATGCGGCCCTCGGGAGGGTCCTGGAGGAGGAGGAGGAGGAGGAGGAGGAGGAGGAGGAGGAGGAGGAGGAGGCGGAAGCGGAGGAGGGGAGGAGGAGGGGGAGGGGAGGAGGAGGAGGAGGAGGAGGAGGAGGAGGGAGGAGGAGGAGGAGAGGAGGAGGAGGAGGAGGAGGAGGAGGGTGTCCTCTCGCGTGCCCTCGCCACTCAACCCCGACTGTGCCTGCGGGAGCCGGGAGCCCGGCCCGCGCGGCCCTCCGAGTCGGTGCCGGGCTCCGCCCCCCGGGCGGCGCCTCTGCCCTGGGCGGCGCCGCGGTCGCCGTTTTGCAGGGGGTCGGTCCAGCGCTAGCCTTAAGTCGGGCGTGTCCCCCTACAGGGTGATTGTGGGCGAAAATATTATGTATATATATTATGTATATATATATATATATATCATTATATATAATGATATATATATATGTATTCAATACATGCACCAGAATGGCCAAAAAAATACACCCAAAATAGTCCCCATATTATTGTTTGACTATTTTTGATTATTTTTGGGGTTTTTTTGTTCATTTTTCGTCGAAAATCCCCCTGTAGGGGGGGGGGCAGGCCCGACTTAACGCCAGCCCAGAGGAAGTCGGCGCGGGCCTCCGGCAGGATACTCGGTGTCGCTCGGACGTGTGCGGCTTCCTCGGCCAGGGCCATCGGGGAGCATCTCGACTTCTTTGGCCGCCCCTGTTGCGTGCAGGGTTCGACCTCGTGTGTGTCGCGTTTGCGGCTATCTGGACGTCCATCCCCCGTCGCAGGTTTTCGTGGCGTGCGTGCAAAAGGATCGGAGGTTGATAGACCTCCTACCCTGACGCGTCGATTAAGGAACTGGCCGCTTTCGGTTCGCGAGGGGGCGTCGCGGCAGTCATTTTTGCGGGTCCAGGTCCGTCGGTTTCGGTCCCAGGCCGTTTTCACCAAGGGGAGGTTTACTAAAGGGAGGTTTGTCCACCGCCGAAAGGAACGCACGAAGTCGAGACATGCGCGAGGAGAATGGACGTCCGAGCGATGGCGAGGTCGTGCTTTGCTGCCCTTCCCGCTGCTGCCCCCTCCAGGACGGGTACCGCCACGAGGCGGGCCTGTCGACGGAGAGGTGCCTGGAGCTCTGCCGCGAGGAGTGGCCGCGCTGCCTGGCGGCGGAGCACAACTCGTGGTACATCGGCACGTGCTCCCTGTTCCTGCGGCCAGCCAGCGGGCTGGACTGCCCCCTGAGCAGCAAGGCTCCCGGGCCCCCAGTCGCTGGGGCGACCACGCCGCGTGGCGAGTCAGGGGCGGGGTCCCTGGTCATCGCACGGCTTCGGCAGCGCGAGCGCAGGGGGGAAGTGGGAAAGAGAAGGCCTGCTCGGAAGGCGGCGGGGCTTTTCAGAAGCCTTCGCGCCTTCTGAGAAGTTCTCTGTGTCTTCGGGGAAGGCTTAGGAAGCTTCTCGGAAGGCCCGGGGACTTCCGAGCCTTCTGAGACGTCCCGCCCCTTCTCGCTCCCCCCCGGGCTCGCCGCCGAGCCCGCCGCGTGGTGAGTCAGTGGGGGCTCCTGGTCGTCGCACGGTTGGCACTCGGGTCGTTCGCCGAGGACGTCTCGGGCGGCTGCCGCCCCGCCCGGGCGCCCCAGAACCTTGCGGTTAAGGGGCTGCGCGGTCGGGCCGATGGTGGTTCCGAGGTCACCACGCGGTCCGTCGCCTCACGTCTTTTTGGGTCCCCGGGCAGGTCTGCTGGAGCGTGCCCGCGGAGGGCCAGCGCTCGGACCCGGTCGTGGACCAGTACGGCCGCGAGTCTCTGCAGGACTGGCACGCCAAGGATCGCAGAACAGAAAGCTGCATGCGCGTAGACTTTCAGAGGCCCGCGAGGATTTCTTGGGTCGGCGCTGGACCTCACTGGCGGCGCCTCTGTCGCCGACAGAAGAAATCCAGGCTGGCTTCCGACAATTTATGTTTGTGTAGTTGGTCGTTGACTAAAGGAGGTCTGGAGCGCCCTGGAGTGCACTGGGCAGGGCGAGTTCGACAACATCAGGAACATCAACTTGGATGGCCTCCAGACCGACTTCAGCTTCGACTACGTGAGCTTCTGGGAGGCCGTGCGCAACGGGGGGTACCTCGGTAATTGCACCGTGGGAGACACGGAGGGGTGCTTCTCGGACGACAATGCGGGATTCCTGGCGGGGGTTTTGACTCGTCTCGGTTGGTTCCAGAATTTGTTCCTGGGCAACGTAGAGGTGGAGCACATCCGCCAAGGTGCCCTCCAGGAGAAGTTCTCGTGCATCTTCGGATTCCTGTTCATGCTGTACCTGGCCCTGCTGAGATACCGCGACTCGGACCGGCGGGCGGCCAGCGAGATCGCCTGGGCCATCCGCATCAGCTTCTGGGTTCACATCGGAGGCCCCGAGTCCAACCTGGACTTGCTGCAGTCCACCGCCTGGCCTATCAGCAGCTGGGACCTCGTTGTGGCGACGCGCGACCTCGAAGGTCAGGCGCCCGATGTGCTTTTCGCGCAGCATGCCGGTCGGCACCCTGTGCCGCAGGCATCTCTGCCTTCCGCTCTAGAGCTGCTGCCCATGGCTGCCGCGCGCCCCCAGGGGGACGACGGGCCGCGGCCGCTGTGTGGAGGGGGCAGCAGGGTCTCCATCGCGACGCTCGGCATCGTGAAGGAGATGCAGATGCACCAGCTCGGGCGGGTGGTAATGGGGGGTCAGACCCAACTGGAAGGTGAAGAGAATGACCCTGAAGGCCAGAGGGTGTCCAAAGTTCCGTTCGGTTCAGAAGCCTTGTGTCCGGACGGCACTCGAGCAGGGTGAGACCGTGAGCCGCCAAACTGCTCATGAGAGGGGCGTGCTGTATTGGCATCGGCCGCTCGTGTTCACACACGGAGGGAGGAGGAGGAGGCGGAGGCGGAGGAGGAGGAGGAGGAGGAGGAGGAGGAGGAGGAGAAGGAGGAGGGTGTCCAAAAGGGGCCCCAAAGGGCGCTTTTAGGGCCCGTGTCCCAGGTGGGTCACCCCCCACGGCCACCCGCCCGACCGGCTCTCCGCCCTGAGGGCCGCGTGGGAGTCCGTCTGTGGCGCGCACCGCCCATCGGCGGCCAGCCCAGGGAAGGAGGAGGAGGAGGAGGAGGAGGAGGAGGAGGAGGAGGAGGCGGAGGCGGAGGCGGAGGAGGAGGAAGAGGAGGAGGAGGAGGAGGAGGAGGAGGAGGAGGAGGAGGAGGATTGTCACGGCTGTCTTTTAAGGCACGGGTAATGTTTTACCGCTTCGTGCCCTAACAATGGTGGCACGCCATGTTCTGGATGCAACACTTGTGAAGATGCGGCTACTACCACGCCTATGCTGTGCAACACTCGCGCCAATGCCCTCCACTGCGCGGCCTATGACCGCCCATGGCCTACACGCGGGTCCTTTGCACAGTGGCTGGTAAGCCCCCCACCCCCATGCCTGACACTGCCACCTATGCCCCGCGTGCAACTGCGGAGACCCCAGGCCTGCTACGGCCTACTATGGTCTGCGAACTATCAACATGTCAAAGCATGAACCTACCTGACTGTTTGGTATGCCATGCTAGTTCAAGTGGGATGCAACCTGGAATGCACGAGTAAAGTCCCCCACGGCTGCGAAGCAGGATGGTTTACAACCGCCTGGCCTCTTCCCAGAGGAGGGCCACCCCACGACTGTGAAGCACACTTAGCTGCCCCGTGCCAATCCCCGTACTCCCATGGATGCAACACTTGTGAAGATGCGGCTACTACCACGCCTATGCTGTGCAACACTCGCGCCAATGCCCTCCACTGCACGGCCTGTGGCCACCCATGGCCTACACGCGGGCCCTTTGCACGGTGGCTGGTAAGCCCCCCACCCCCATGCCTGACACTGCCACCTGTGGCCCGCGTGCAACTGCGGAGACCCCAGGCCTGCTACGGCCTAATAAGGTCTGCGAACTATCAACATGTCAAAGCATGAACCTACCTGGCTACTCCTCCACGACGTGTCTGGGGCACGGGGCCAAAAGCACGAGGAGGAGGAATAGGATGAGGAAGAGGAACAGTAGGATGAGGAGACCAAATAACGCAATACCAGACAAGAGACGCCTCTTCCGTACCAAAACGACCACCCTTCGGGTGATAAGGAGGTTCGGGGGGGGGAGTAACCAACGCGCACGAACACGAAACCGAAACCGATTTCCCGGTAGGGGGGCTCTCCGTTCCACTTCGATCTCTCCCCCTCACCTCCGATTTACATGGGACATCCTCCAATGCGCGGGGACTGCGTGTCCCATAACAGGGACTGCGCGTCCCATTTGCCAGGACTGTGTGTCCCATAATCGAGACTGCGCGTCCCATTTGCCAGGAATGTGTGTCCCATAGCAGGGACTGCGCGTCCCATTTGCCAGGGCTGCGTGTCCCATAACAGGGACTGCGCGTCCCATTTGCCAGGACTGTGTGTCCCATAATCGAGACTGCGCGTCCCATTTGCCAGGAATGTGTGTCCCATAGCAGGGACTGCGCGTCCCATTTGCCAGGACTGCGTGTCCCATAACAGGGACTGTGCGTCCCATTTGCCAGGACTGTGTGTCCCATAATCGAGACTGCGCGTCCCATTTGCCAGGATGTGTGTCCCATAGCAGGGACTGCGCGTCCCATTTGCCAGGACTGCGTGTCCCATAACAGGGACTGTGCGTCCCATTTGCCAGGACTGTGTGTCCCATAATCGAGACTGCGCGTCCCATTTGCCAGCGCAGGGACTGCGCGTCCCATTTGCCAGGACTGTGTGCTGTAGGACTGCGCGTCCCATTTGCCAGGATAACAGGGACTGCGCGTCCCATTTGCCAGGACTGTGTGTCCCATAATCGAGACTGCGCGTCCCATTTGCCAGGAATGTGTGTCCCATAGCAGGGACTGCGCGTCCCATTTGCCAGGACTGCGTGTCCCATAACAGGGACTGTGCGTCCCATTTGCCAGGACTGTGCGTCCCATAATCGAGACTGCGCGTCCCATTTGCCAGGAATGTGTGTCCCATAGCAGGGACTGCGCGTCCCATTGCCAGGACTGCGTGTCCCATAACAGGACTGTGCGTCCCATTTGCCAGGACTGTGCGTCCCATAATCGAGACTGCCGGTCCCATTTGCCAGGAATGTGTGTCCCATAGCAGGGACTGCGCGTCCCATTTGCCAGGACTGCGTGTCCCATAACAGGGACTGTGCGTCCCATTTGCCAGGACTGTGCGTCCCATCATCGAGACTGCGCGTCCCATTTGCCAGGAATGTGTGTCCCATAGCAGGGACTGGGCGTCCCATTTGCCAGGACTGCGTGTCCCATAACAGGGACTGCGCGTCCCATTTGCCAGGACTGTGTGTCCCATAGGGAGGAGGAGGAGGATTGTCTCGGCTGTCGTTTAAGGCACGGGTCAAGTGTTACCGTATCGCGCCCCAACAAAAGGGAACGTGACCGTCAACCTAATGAAGCGAAGCGGCGGCGGCAGCGGCCAGCCGCACTGTATATGCCGTACCCCGACCGCTATTACTCGGGTGCTATGTAATCTACCTACGGATGCCTACCAGGCGAGACACGGCCCACGACTGTGAAGCCCGTTATATGGAGTGCGCCACCGTCCTCCTTCTGGAGGGGGGTCGCTTCACGACTGTGAAGCCCGCTTAACTACCCTACTCTCATCCTCCCTCAACAGGAGGGCCGCCCCACGACGGTGAAGCCTTATTATCGCCAAACTCTTACCTTTGCCCTTCGCTGTCACTTGTCCCCCCACCACTAAGTGGCAATTCGTCCCTTCCCCCAGACTTTGAAGCTTGCCCAACCCCCTCTCAAACGACCTCTAAGAATGCTCAACGGGGTGTGTCAACAACCCCACAGGAGGGCACACGCCCCACGGACTGTGAACGCCCTAGACTAGATTGCCCCTCGCTTAGTCCCTTTAGAAACGGACGGGCGGGCGGGCGGGCGGGGGGCGCGGGGCGCGCTTTTTTTAAAAAAACAAAAACCTCTACCGGCTTTCTGGAGAGGCCGTTATACTGGTGCAGCTAGGACGGCCGCGCTGTGAGTATCTCTCTGCTGTCTTGGGACGGAACCTGTTGGTGAAGGGTGGCCCCCTGGACCGGGCTAACCCGGTGGCGCTGCCTGGAGACTCAGGCTGCCAGTAGTGCTATCTTTTTGAAAGGAGTCCTTGAGTAATGGGGCTCCGGGCTCCTTAGAGGCGGGCGGTCGGGCGTGGGGAAGTCCACGCCCCTTCTTGTGGCTGGGGCCCGTGCGTCCCCCACGCCGACTCCCTGTCGAGTATAGAGCAGATTCAGTCCATGAAGGGTGGCTGATGAATACGGGTGGGGGGAGGGGACGGGGTTGGAGAAACGTGGGTGGAGGAGGGGCCGGGGAGGTTGGTACTTGGGTTGGGAGGGAGACGGGAGTAGGGTGAGGGGGAGAGGAC